ATCTATCTATCTATCTATCTATCTATCTATCTATCTATCTATCTCTCATCTACCCATCCACCTATTCCTCATCTATCATCATCTATCTGTCATCTATATCTATCCATCTATCCATCCATCCATCCATCCATCCATCCATCCATCCATCCATCTATCTATCTACCCATCCATCCACCCATTCCTCATCTATCACCATCCGTCTGTCATCTATATCCATCCATCCATCCATCCATCCATCCATCCATCCATCCATCCAATCATCTATCTAATCATCCTTCCCTCCCTCCATCTATCTACCTCAACTATTCATCCACCCACCTTTTCCTCATCTATCTTTTACAAATTGTGCTTTCCATATAATTTTTTTAAAGGATTTTTATTAGTTGCAACAAAGTCTGCAACGTTCCCTCTACTTATTACGATGATGATTAATATTTTCCAGGAAACGTGAATGCAGACGGTGCTACTACAGGTTACGAGAAATCTACTCACACCAGCTTGGTGGCAGGCCTTCAACTCCGGATCAACCTGAACTAATATTTCTCAACCATGGGAAACTTAAAGACAGGTGGATATCAACTCCCAGCATTCCCCAGCCAGCATTCCCAGAACACAGCATGGATAGGACAAGAATAAATGTGGCTGGACCATTTTGTATTTTTTGACTGGGTAGCTTTCTTCATAGATGGGGGGAATGCAGTCAACGTACTATACGTTGACTTCAGAAAAAGTGAAAAAGAGAAGCTAAATTAATAACAAATTGAAAGTAAGCTAGATGGTGTGACAATTAAATAGAAAACTGATATATTAGAATTAAATGGGAAACTGGTAGGGGGGCTGGGGGATTCTGGGAGTTGAAGTCCACCCATTTTTCAAGCGGATTGGATAACTTTCTTAATAGACAGTGAAAATGCGGCCGATGTGATATACCATGACATCAGAAAAGTGGAAAACAATAACCCACGACAAGCTAAATTAATAAACAAGTTGAAGGTAAGTGAGATGGTGTGACAATTAAGTAGAAAACTGATATATTAGAATTAAATGGGAAAGTGATATGCTGGCTGGGGGATTCTGGGAGACTAAGGGCACATGTGCCCAGGTGTGGGGAGGTTGTCCAGGTGTGTGCGGGCATGCAGTAGCACCGCCCTCCTTTTAGGGCCCATCTTCCTCATCGACTTTGCCTTCCAGGCTTCCGGGGCAGCTGTGCGCTGAGATGGAATCGCTCCGGTACTGAGCCTCGTCGAAGTCCAGTTCGTGGTCTTGAACCCGGATCTCGCTGAGGCAGCCATGGAAGAAATGACCCTCCTGAGATTTTTCCTCTCCTGAAATAAAAGACGTGGGGAAAAAAGGACTCAGGAATAATAGACACCCACTCGAATATAAATCCGGCTGCCTTTCAATGCCTCGTTCGCCTGTGGAACTCCCAGCCACAAGATGCTACAAAAATTCAAACGCGTGTGTGCAAACTGCTTCCTATTTATAACGGTCGCAGCCTACCGGGGTCACCTGCATCCCTTTTTTTGCGACACTTCTGACAAAGCGACGTCAGCGGGGAAGCCAGATTCATTCAGCGACCGCGGTCACCACAATGGCAGCGATTCACTTAACAACAGTGGCAAGAAAGGTCATAAAAGGGGACCAAACTTTGCTTAACGACGGTCTTGCCTAGCCTCGGAAACGTTGGCCTGAGCCGTATCCATCCGTCAACGACGGCCTGTATTCAAAACCTACCCGAGGGTAAACATCAATGCCATCGTTAGCCTGGGGAACTCCACGCCACAAGATTGGAGAGAGGCAGGGTGAGATTATCTTTTACTGTATATTTATATGCTGCCCAGCTGACAATTTAAGATGATTTAGGAGTAGACTATAGCAAAAACATGCCACGCCTTGTTTTGGGCCTAGTAGGCTGCCCTGCACTTACCTGGGAGCCAAAACGGGGCGGGGGGAGGGGGCTCCTGGAAGGGGAGGGGCCAGCCAGAAGTTGTCCAAACCAGTCAAAATTTCCACTACCGGTTCGTACGAACCGCTCCAAACCGCCTGAATACCACCTCTGTATTCAAGCCACTCGGGGTGCCCTACCTACACCCCACCCCCCTTTTTTTAAAGCAGGTGTTAAGGTCAGGCTAACCCCCATCACCCCCTCCAGGCGAGACGTACCAGATTCGCCCCCAACGACCAGGCTTCCTAGGTTGTTCAGCCAGAGTTGTTGCAGGCTCTCGAACTCGGCCTTGGGGGTGGGCTTGGAGATCTCGGTGGCGCCCAGGCCCAGCGAGAAGGAGGAGGGGGTGAGGCGGAGGAGGAGGGGGCTGTCCAGGCAGCCCCCCTCAGGGAGAGGGAGAAGGAGAACGGTCTGGTTACTTAGCTCGGCCGTCAGATCCTGGATGGGAGGAGAGGCCACAAACCAGGTTAGGAGGTAGGGGGGGTTGAGTGCATCTTCTATGGCTTCCCCCCCTCAGGGAGGGGGTCCTTGGTACTCACAGGTCCATGACGCCCTGCACTCACACCTTGGCTGAGGATTGTCTCAAATCTCCCCTTTGGACCATCCATCCATCATTCCATCCTTTTCTCCTTCCTTCTATCCTTCCATACCTTCATTTTTCCTCCCATCATTCCATCCATCGCTTCCATTCTTCTATCTTTCTGTCCTTCCTTCCCCTCCCACCCATCTGTTCTTCCATTTTCATTCATCTTTCCTTCCTTCCATACATCCATCCACCCATCATTTCATCCTTCCATCACTCCATCCATCTCTCCTTCTATCCTTCCTTCCACTTCCATCCATCCATTCTTCCATTTATTCCTCCAACCTTTCATTCATCTTTTTTCTTTCTTTCCTTCCATCCATCCATCTATCTTTCTGCCCTTCCTTCCCCTTTCATCCATCCGTTGTTCCATTTATTCATTCAACCTTTTCATTCATCTTTCCTTCCTTCCATCCATCTATCCTTCATTCCATCCACCCATTAATCCATCCATCTTTCTGCCCTTCCTTCCCCTTCCATCCATCCGTTCTTCCATTTATTCATCCAACCTTTCATCTATCTTTCTTTCTTTTCTTCCTTCCTTCCATCCATCTTTCCATCCTTCCATCCATCCATTGCTTCATCCATCTCTCCTTCTATCCTTCCTTCCACTTTCATCCATCCATTCCAAACTTTCATTCACCTTTCTTTTTCTTTCTTTCCTTCCTTCATTCCATCCTTCGTTTTATCCTTCCATCCTTCCTCCATCCTTCCTTCCATCCCTCCATCCGTTTATCCATCCTTCCATCCATTTTTCCATCCCTCCCTTTCTTCTAAAGCCAGAGAAGGCCAGGAGCTTTCCTGACCCGGTTGCGGCTGCCATCTTGACTTTTTCGCCCCTCCTGGCAGACATTCCTGGGCCAACCCATCTGGTGGGCACCCCAATAGCCATCCAGGCCTCCCCTCCACACACACCCCCAGCAAAGGTGTGTGTGTGTGTGTGTGTGTGTGTGTTGTATCCGCGTGTGGATACATCTCAGACGAGGATGTCTCTGCCCCAACCCTTCTCACCGTGTGCTGTAGTGTCAGGCGCAGGACCGGGCGCTGTTTGAACCCCAAAACGGCCACCAGGGAGCTCAGCTGGGGGCCAGCCCTGATCCGCAGCTGCACGGAGAGCAGCCAAGTGCCATCAGTGGGGCTGAGACCGCTGGGCAGGTCTGCAAGACAGGAGGGCGTGGCTGGCACCTTTTTGGGCGGCTGCGGCAAACCGACTGCCGACCCCTCGGTGAGATAGGGGCATCGCCCTCACCGGGCGTCGAGGGACCCTGCCCTCCCAATCTTAGGGACTCTGCGGCCTGCGGTGCCCACCGCGTACCTGACAGCGCAAAGACGGCCCCTCCGTTGCCACGGAAAAAGCTGCCACGCTGGACAGTGGTGAAACAGGCCTTGGCGTCGCGGTCGTGCAAGGATGCCCCCTCGTGCCACTCTTGGCTCGTGTTCATCCAGTCCCAGCGCCTGATGCAGCCGTCCAGGGCCGGGTTCAGCTGCAGCGCCCATCAGTCGCCGGTGTAGGTGTGTGTGGGGGG